TCTGCAGATGAGGAGCACCAAAAGTGGTGCTGCCAGAGCTGGTTAATGAAGTCCTCTTGGTTCCTGTTTACCTGTCCATGCTGGCTCTGGAAGGAGTGCTCCTGCCTTCACTGGTGGGGTCTGAAGGGCCTTTGCTGGTGGACAGGTGCTCTATGTGAGTGCTGGGATGGACTTGGCAAGTGATGCTGACCCAAATGAGAGAGAGACCGTGCAGCTCGGTGCTGCCCTGATGCCTGCGCTCTGACTTCCCAAGCTGCTGCACAGAAGATGCCGGTGTCGGTGCTGTTTGCCCTTCTGGGGAGAAACCCACCGCCGTGGAGCATCTCCTTTGTTCCTCGGCGGTGAGGGAGCCCCAGCTTTCCCAGGACCGATCCCAGCCCAGGTCAGGGTTTGGCAGCTGCCATCCACCTCTGACCACGTGGCTGAAATCATCTGTTTCCTTCACAACTATTGTTTCCTGAAGGATATTCCCAGAGGATTTTTCATCCTACTCGCTTTGCCTCAGCCCGTGAGCAGGGCCAGCCGACCAGTTTTCCCTGGGAGGTTATTCCTGGTTGAAGAGACCTCACTGGGCACAACTGATCCTGTTAAAGGCGGTTTCCTTTCTCGTTTTCATTCCACGAGTTGTAACGGGCACTCTCAGACTGCTGAAATAATGTCTGTCTTTGTTCTGATATGAGACCCTTGCATAAATACACAATCTCCCCCCCCCCATGTGTCCTTTAAAATAGAAAAAATGCTTTTTCTAAATTGCAATTTAAAATTATTTTGACAGAAAGGATGGAGGAATCGTACATAGAAGAAAAAATCTTTTCAAATGAGAACTGAAGCAAATATAGTTTAGTAGTATACTAGTTACAGAATGAACAGCATATTGTATGTGCTGTGTTAGAGGTATGTTATGAATAACAAAAGCACTGGAGCATTTACATATTTGTTTTCAGAAATCCTGGCAGTTGGATTTCACCATTCTGTGCCTCTTTGCCAGAATCACTAAACAGTGGTACATATGGCTTCTGAAGTACCATATGCCGTAGAAAACGTTAGCTGATGCCTATACTGATGCGACACACTATAGTCTTTATTTAGATTTTTTTGCAGTTTTGAACAAAGAATATTAGATCATGCAAAACATTGTGCAAGCAGTATGTAGTTGTACATACAGTAAAACATAATACATTGCACCCAAAGAAAAGCAAACTATAAAAAGGGGAAGAAACGGTGCTATTGTGAATTAGAATGTGCATGTGCCAAGAAACGTATCAAACGGCGTGACACGGTTTTGTACGGCTGAGGCAGGAGATTTTTCCAGTGCTTAAAGCAAGGAGTTAAGAGGCAGAGCTCTGTGGACGTACAGATTTTGAATCGAGTCCCAGTTCTAAGAGACATTCCCTGTTCCAAAAAGTACTTACGCTTAAATTTAAGAACATGTTTAAAATCCTTGGAGAGTGAAGGAAACACGTGCGTGAGTGCTTTTCTGTACAGAGTCCTGATTGTAAGAGCAGCAATAACTCTGCTCTCTCCCACATAGTCGGCTGAAAATAGTGACAATGAACACAATTTTAATGAGTCAAGTGAGAAACACCTTGAAAACAAAATGGAATATGGTTTCAAACACAATGTCCACCACGTCCAACCTGGCATTAAAAAGTAAAATCAGGCTTTTGTTTTGACAGGTTTTTAAAATACATTTTCTCCCTGCTGTCCCGACAGCCCCAAAGATTCACGTAGCTGATGTCAAGGTGAACCCCCAACCCCGAGGGAGCCCGGTGCTGGTGCTGTGGTGCACCAGGAGCAGCTGAAGGACAACGTTGCCCAGGGGGAAGGAGAGTAGGGTGATGTTTCCCCCTTGGGAGCAGTGCCCCGCTCTTCCCTTGCCCTCTCTCCTCACTCCTCTGCCTGGACACTGCTGCCCCGAAAACACTTAATAGGCTTAACCTTAAGCACCGCAGAGGATCAGAGGGGATTACTCACATCCTTATGCAAAGGTATAATGTTTGGAGATGGGTGGAGAAGCATCACATCTCTACCTCTTGATTTGATTCCTGCTCTTAAAACACACACAGTGCCTGAGGATGGTATGTTACAGGATTCACACAGCCTGTGCCAGAAGCGTGTTGGTGTGGTACAGCAAGTGTTAAACCATGGAAAGTGGGAAACTGGGAAAATACTTTATAATTTGCAGACACTCAGTCGGTTGAGGCCACCAGCTGACCAGAACAGAGACAAACCCAGTGCAGAAACAGGAGGAGGACAAGGCTGGACCCCAAACACAGCTGGAGCTGAGCGACTTCGATGGGAGGGGGGAGCAGAAGGCTAAAAGGACAAGGACTTACAGCTGAGCCTGTGTTGCAGATGGCTGGGCAGGGGAAATTGGGGAAGCCACAACTGGGGGCCATGGGGAGAGCTGCCTGGTAAGCCTTGGGCAGAGCATGTGCGAGATGGGCACCCCCGTGCTGCGGTGTGCTAGCTTGGTGGTACAAGCATGGATGTGGGGCTGTTGGGAGGCTGCCAAAAGGTGTACGTAGAGATTTAATAGCACAGGTAATTGTAGAGAGACAAACACTTGGGGGAAAAGCCCATAATTACTTGACTGGCTGAAAGAAGTAGGAAAGGCACTGCGAGCTACCAGTGGCCTTCCACAGCATGAGCAAAAGTAGTGGAAGATTTAAGGTACTGAAACTGTCATAGAAATTCATCTGTGAGGCAAGGACTTTATGATCTTGTGTGTAGGTAGCATTTTACACATTTCATGAACCGCTACTTAAATGAATGGATGTAAACAGAAATAGAAGTAGGACTGGAAGCTGAGGGAAGGAGGGAAGGCAGAGGGATAAGGGAAGCTTTCATTGAGCACCTATTTGAGGTTGCTTCCTGGGTTCACTGAAAACCAAATACTGGCTCAAATTCAAACCTCATTAGGTGGTTGTAATTTTATGAAAGTAATAAGAGGGGAAGATTAACATCTTTACATCCATCTCACCCCAAGGTGTTTTATTTCCTTTGCAGGAACAAGAACCTTTACAGGGCCCATGAGCAGCGGGAAGTGGAGCCCCTCTTCCTGGAGAAATGGTGGCAGCAGGGCCAAGCAGGTGCTCCTTCCATCCGTCTCTGGCCTCCACATCACTCCAAGGAGAGCGTGGTGAGTGCCCAGCCTGCCCCAGTTACACAGCTGCCCTTTCTAGGCTGTCAGCCAGAATGTCAAAACCAGCACCGAGCCCACTAAGTCACGAGCAGGGAGGTTGTGCAAATTGCAGCGGGGAGACCTCAGGAGAGGAGGGACAACCTGAGTCAGGATGGCTACTGAGCAGATCAGTGCAGCTGGTTCCCCTGTGCAGGCAGCAGGTCGTGCCCGAGGTGGCTGGGCAGGAGAGGGCACCCAGGCAGTGGAGAGGTGGGGGCTGCAGACCTGCCCTCCCTCCCCACTCATGGCATTTAGAAGAGCTGACACAAGGGGAATCTGCTTCCAAGTTGCTTAGGTTTACTCCCCCCTAAAAAAACCCCACTAAAACAAGGAAGAAAGTCTCCACACCACCCAGTTACAATGGCCTCCCAAAGCCCACCCTGGCTGCTTCACTGTTGGATTTCAAACCCGCGCTCCTGGATGCCAAGAGGTGTGACTCTGACACATCCATGGGCCTGAGCTGCTTTCTGGGCTGTCCTGACATGCAGTCTCCCCGTGCTGAAGGTGTTGGGTATCCATTATGGGCACAAACAGGCGATTTGCTGGATTAGTCTCATTACCTTTCCCTTCAAAAAGCATCCACTGCTATCTGCCCTGTGGTTTGGCAAGGGGTTAACGCTTTCCCTTCCTAAACCTCGACTTGCCAGTACCTCTCCCGTGTGCTGCAATTATTAAATGACACTTCACAACTTCATCTCCTCTTCTGCTACATCTGCTTGCTGCTCCCATGTGCAACCTCGCTCACATCCCAAACATCTAAATGCATTGTTTCCTCTGTTTCTCCTGCCAGCATGGAAAGGTGCCATCCTTGCAGCAGAATTGCCTTTGAGCTGGCAGCAGACGAGTGATTGGCATTGGGCATTACTGCTGAGACTCTGGCAGGCCGTTTAGCAGAGAACCTTGGCTAATGAATGTCATCCACACCTAGCAGATGTGCCACTGGCTGCCATGCCAGATTTTTGACATAATACAGTGCTGCTGGACACGATAGTGCTTGGGAAAATCCATGGCGCAACTTACGCCTTCGGCGCAGGGTTCAGCCTCGCTCGGGGTTTTGCAAGAGAAGAACAAAATCCGCGTGAGGGAGGGTGATGCACTGGTGTCTCCCAGTCCTCACCCGCGTTTTTAATCAGTGTATAAATCATGTTTGTGCTGGTCTCCCTCACGTGCCGGGGGACCAAAAAAAAAAGGGTTGGTTTTTTTGTTGCTTTTTTTTTTTTTTTTTTTTTTTTTTTTTTTTTTTCTGTGTTTTCAGTGCCGGTTCCAGCTGGTCCCTCCAGCCCCCCGGCTCCCCGCCGTCACCGGGACCGGACCAGGCGCTGCTGCCGGCGGGGATGGGGGGGCCGAGCCCCCCCCGGGAGCCGGGTCTACTGCAGGAAGGTGCCTGGGACCTGGATCTGGCCGCCGGCAACATCCCCGGCTTCGTCTTTCCTCTCCTGCCCTCCATCGGAGGGAAGGCAGCATTTACCCTGCGGAGCGGCCACCCCTAAGGGGGGGCTGGGGGGCACCCGGCACCCCGGGGCGCCCCCAAACTCCTCCAAACTCCTCGGGGCTTCCCCCCTCATCCCCCCGCCCGGCGGCGCCCGGGGAGCGGTCCCGGGAGGGGGCGGAGGACGGGACCGGACCCCCCGCCGCCGCGTCCCGGGGATCATCCCGAAAAGCGGCGTTGGAGCGGGGGGTGGCGAATCCCCCCGCCGCCGCACCGGCGGTGCAGGTTCCCCCGGTCCCGGGGGAGATGTCCCCGCGGGGAGGGCGAGGCGACCGGCGTGATGCGGTGGGGATTTTCGGCCAAACAGTTTGCTCGCTCATTAACCCTCTAATTACCCGGCGGTGCGTGCGGGGGCGGCACAGGCGGCGAGGGGGGAGCCGTGCTGTACCGGGGGCGGGGGATGCTGGCGCTGCCGGGGGTTGTGCACCCCCCGACCAAGCCGCCCACCCGCCTGCCGCCTCCCTCCCGCTCCTGCGGGTTCAGTCGGGACCCGCTTCCACCCCACCCCCCCATAACTATCACCTGTACCGTTGGGTTTATGCCTGTAGCGAAGGGAGCGTGGGGGGCAAGAGGTGAGTTCCCGCCCCGGAGGAGGAGGAGGGGTGTCCTCAAAACACCCGCTGGGGCGGCCCTGCCCCCCCGGGCCTCGCCGCCGGCTGGAGCCGGTGTCCCGGGGCTGCTGCCTGCACCGGGGGGCTTCAGGGACGTGTCCTGCGGACGCCTTCAGCTCCGGGCGGCCGGGGGGGTCCCTCGCAGCCGGCTGAAAGTCAAGTTCAGCGCGGCGGCGCTGGGCGGGATGCTTTCGGGGGGGTCGGTACCGGGGATGTTGTGTCAAAGTACGAAATGCTCCGGTTGCGTGAGAGCGGGCGCCGGCGCACGGATGTAACGCAGATCACTTTGCCGTTCTTCCCGTTTCTTTCCTCGGCCTCTTTATCTTTCAATTGAAAACCAATTAAAGGTTTCTATAAATCTGTTAGCATCCCTTTTACGTGGGGCCCTCTGATGCCTGCTGTATTGCCCTTTAGATGCCTCTTCCTTTTTTTGTTTTACAATTGTTGTATCAATATAATGCTTCCTTTCTTTCTCTGTCTCTATAGATACAGATATACAAGGCAAACTAAAGGTTTCGACTGCTATTCAGTGCCTCCTCATTTGTCCTGGAGCCGTAACAGTGGTGCCCTTTCTCTTCTGGCTGCTTTTCCCTGCTTCTGGAGCAGCAGTTATGGGAGAAGCAGATGGCTACTGATTGGGTGAGCTTTGTGGCTTTAATACTGAATACTTTATGGAAAAGGACTTTATCATGCTTGGTTGGTCAGAGGAACAACGGGATGAGATTTATGACTAGAGAAAATAAATCTTTTTAAGTTTCAGGCTCCTTCACACACCCCACATCAAGTCGCTGTAGCAGAGCCGGAGCTGAAATCCTCTGCATCTTTTTTTCTGCCTCCCTCCCCCTCTGTCTGTCTGTCCTTTCACTGCTCTCCCCACCCCCTCCCCGCCAGGGTTTAGCAACCCTCTGCAAACTTTAGGGACTGTCACTCACTGGAGTGGCGGAGGCCTCCACAGCCCCGCAGGGAGGGAAAAGACCATCTCTTGATGTGGATCATCCTCCTGACAGGAATATGCTGGACAGTCGGCTCCTGCCAAGGCTTGTCCACGTGTGACCCAGACGGCGGTCACCCAGGGTCTCAGTAGGGAGTTCTGAGTGACATCCTCATCAACTGGACAACACGGAGACTGTGTGGCCACCAGAGACACCCCGCTCTGCTGAGCCCAGATCTCCCGGAGGAGAGGGAGCCCAGCACTGCCCAACTCCACTGCACCCCACGCTGGGCAGCCCCCGGGCTGAGGCTGTGGGACCAAATCCCCAGGGAATAGCTCTGTGAGTCCCTCAGTCACCCCGCAGAGGCTCGGTGCTCGCCACCAGCCACCGTGTGTTGTTCGTCCGGTCTCGGCTCCTGCACGTTCTCACGCCGGAGCTGGGGCACGACCAAGGGCCGTGCAGTGGGGTGGGCTCCAGCCCCAGCGTGGGACGCTGCTGGTGGCACACAGGGATGGAAAGGTTCAAGGACGTACAGGAGCAGAAGCAGATTTCAGTCCTGGAGGGATTTCCATATTTTGTTACTTTCTCTTTCCTGCCCTGTATAGCCAATAACATCCTCTTTCAGGTGCTAGAAGCTAAGTGAAAGCTTTCTGGTTTTTAAACTTTGGTGCTCCTATGCGGTCAAGTAAGGAGGAAAAACAGAAAGCTGTGGTTGATAAAAATAATTTTGAGATAGAAAGTCAGAATTGGTTTGGGGCTATACAATAGCCATTTAACCAACCACCCTTTATACATTCAGTGGTCTGTTTTCTGATTAGTTACAAAAAAAATATTCTGTGACCCATTGGTGAATACACAAATTAATATTTCTAACTAGTTTCTGTGTTTGCTCAGAAAGAAGTACAGGGGAAGTTCGAGCACCATCAGGGGCTGAAGAAATAGCTGAGGTGCTTACGGTGTCTCTGAGTTGTGAGAAAACAGGCAGGAAAGGGACGCCGAGCCCTGCTGTGGCTGCCTGAGGCTCCTGGAGAAGCAGGAGTGTTTGCTCCTTTTTGAGGTGAACCACAGCCAAAGCCAGTGTCTGGAAAAAAGGGCTTTACAGCTTCGTAGCGTGGGGGTGATTTGGGCTGGGATTCCCAGGCACCGCTGCAAGCTCCAGTGAGGTGCGGCCCAAGGGTGGACAGGAATAGGAAGGGGTGGGGACTGTGGGCTCATCTGGGAGTTGAGCTGGAAAGCAGATAGGACAGGGTTTGCTGGTGTGCCTCAGTCCTGGCGAGGGGCTGGTTGTGGGGCTGAGTCGCCCCAGAAGGATCCCTGTGCCTGTTTGGGAGGGTTACCAGTGGGAGAAATGCCACTTCTCCGTGTGCTGGTCCGCAGCGTGGCAGCGATGCTGCTGGCACCCGGCACGGGACCTCCCGAGGAGAGGTGCCCACCACAACCCTGGTACCAGTCAAGCGCAGGAGGGAAGATTTGTCATTCAGCTGAGGCCCCAATTTATTTCCAGTGCCGAGGCCTAGCTGCCCTGTTTGTCTCAGGGGAAGGGAACCATTCTGCCTGCATTTCTTCAGGCACTGGGAAAGCTTGTGGCTCCACGTTTCGTTTCGAGTCGCTTTTCCGTTCCACCTCATGTGCCCCCCCAGGGACCTGAGGCCAGCCCTGCCTGTGGCAGAGACAGACAGAGATGGGAGTGAAGCAGCCCTGGGCATCCCTTGTCTCTCCTCCCCGGTCCCCCGGCACCGCCTGAACGATCATGGCTGGGCTCGTGCGCTTCTGGGAACTTGCATATTTTCACAGTGATTTTATTTCTCTGGTGACTTTATAGCGGAGTCACCTGTGAGCTGACTCTGGGCTGTGTGTATGTCTCCTCAGAGGAGCAATCCTACATCTGCAGGCCTGGCGTGTGTCACAACTTCGAGGCAGCAATTCCCCAGGGACGCAGGGGTGTTTCTGAGCGCAGGTTGTGCAGCCCTACCTCTCCCCTTTCCCCCTCACCTTCCTGGGTGAAACCCAGGGAGGAAAGAGAAGGCTCCTCCAGCGCAGCCGGGATGGTGCCCCGACATCCCCGGAGACGCAGATCCTCCGTCCTTTGCAGCCATCCCCATGGTAACTCATCGAGGGCAGAAAACTGGCACTTCCCTCGGAGAGGTTAAGGGATACCGGTGGCCGAGCGTCCCCACCCCGCCGGCCCCTTGCCCCCGCAGCTGCCCTGTCCCCATATCGGGGTCCCAGCTCCCTGTCGGGGTCCTGGCCAGGGGGTGGCAGGGGTCGGGCCACCCCCCCCGAGGCTGGACGGCCGTCGGTCCTCTCCCGTCCGTGGGACTCGGGCTTGCCCGCCCGGCCCCTCCGAGCCCCAGCGCCGGTCCTGCCCCGGCCGCTGCTGGAGACTCCCGTTTCCCAGGAGCCGGTTGTCGGTGGGTGCCTCCGTACCGGGCCGGTGCCGTCGGGGAGGGGGCGGCGGCGGCGCCTGGGTTGCGGTTTCGGGGGGCCGGGGGGAGGCGGCGTCGGGAGGCAGCTGCCGGGGCTCCGCGGAAGGAGGCCGGAGCTCCTCAGCCCGGGTCGCCCTCGGCTCTTCGCGAGAGGTTTTCGGGAAGAACAAACACGTATCTGAGGAGGTATCTGGTGTGCGGTTGGCAGGAGGCGGCAGGCAGCGCTCGCAGGGCCCCGCAGGGCTGGCGGGCACCTCGCCGGGCTGCGGCCGGAGCCGGGGACGCGCTCCCTCCCCGGGCAGGGCCGGGCCCGGGCGCACCTTCACCGTCGGCACCCCCAAAATTCCCGGTGCGGCTTTTCGCTCAGCCCGGGCGAGCGGTCGGCTCCCCAGCCCGCGGACGAGGCTGCCGCCCGGTTGGCGCGGTGGGTGCGCTCCCGCAGCCCCGGCACCGGGCTCCTCCGCGCAGCGGGGCTGGGCTGGCGGGGGCTCCCGGCTCTGGGAACGTTAAACTTAAAAGGAGAGGG